GCTCAACGCAGGAGCTGCCCCCTGTGGTCAGTGCGCTCCTACAGTGGGAGAGCGACTGCTCAGCCAGAAGCCGGGCTCATGGCTGCGCATTGCGCAGTGGCTCCCGCCTCCGCGGCAGCACTAAGGGTTGTCCCATGGAGTGGGCCCAAGCTCTGTTAGTTGGACATCTCTGAGGGCTCCCAGACTGCAAAGAGGGCGCAGCCCAGGCTGAGGGACCCCCCCCCCCCCAAGTGCACTAATTTTGTGCACCGGGCCTCTAGTAAAGAAAATAATTGAATGAATTGGGGTTACAGAATAGAATATATTTATTCATTAATATATTTATAAAAGATTAATATAAGCAATAGGAGTTATACAGTGGGATCTGGGCCGAAAAAAACAAATCTTTAAGTAAAAGAAAATTTCAAGACCTGAGATTGTGGATTAAGAAGGCCCATGTAGCCCTAGCTGGTATGGCTCAGTGGATAGAGCGTCGGCCTGCCCACTGAAGGGTCCCAGGTTCGATTCCGGTTAAGGGCACATGCTCGGGTTGTGGGCTCAATCCCCAGTAGGGGGCATGCAGGAGGCAGCCGATCAGTGATTCTCTCTCATCATTGATGTTTCTCTCTCCCTTCCTCTCTGAAATCAATAAAAAAATATTTTTTAAAATAAAGGCCCATGTATTTCCAGCATAATGTATGAGAAGACAGCCACTTCAAGACACATTATTGTGAAATTTTAGATAACCAGTAATAGATGATTCTAAGGGGTTCCAGAAGGGGATGGTGAGGAAAACATGTTCCCCAGAGAAGTCTAGGAGCCAGAATGACTCTGAACCTCTCAGGTGGGAATCAAAACAATGGAGCAATGCCTTCAAAATCCTGAGGCAAATGATTTCCAACAATTATAGTCAAATCATTTTCAGATGTAAAACATCTCTAAAATCTATTTTCCATGTACCCTTTTTCAGGAATCTATTGAAGGAGATACTTTAAAAAAAAAAAAAGGAAAATAGGAGGAGGAAGTCTTGGAATCTAGAAAACAGGAGACTCAAAATCACTGAGAAGCAAAGGGAATTTACAAGGTGATGGTGTAGCAGTTGCTTCTGGGGAAAGGAACCAGTAGTGATGAGGGCAGGAAGAAGACTTAGATTTCACTGCAAATGCACTCTCATTTTGTCCGACTTATACTGTGTGCATGTGTTAGCTTTTCAACTGAAAAATGCTTTCTTCTTGCCAATTGTTAATAGTTCATGGTAAATATATGTCAATTTGAGGTGCCTATTTTAAATGAACAGAGTATGTATGCATAGTGTTAACTTGTGCTTCTGTTTGTTAGATTCTGCAGCAGCTAAGATATATACCACCAACAATTTACATGCTTGTGTTTTACAGAGTTACATCCGTTTGGGAGAATAGTCTCCAGATCACCACAATTTCTAGTTTTCTAGGAACATGGCTTGGAGCCTTTCCTATTCCACTCGATTGGGAAAGGCCATGGCAGGTTGGTTTTAGCTACTTAAAGCTACAAGATAAATGTTTTACAGTCATAAAACTGATGACGCTAACATAGATTTTATTTATTTATTTATTTATTTATTTATGTAAATTGTTTTGTTCAATGAAGTAGCAATGACGGTTCTATCTTCCAGGACGGTTTTGTTTGTTTTCTATATATATAGGTGAATAAACAAGCTTAGTTAAAAAAAAAAAAAAAAGCTAGAAGTTGCAGGAATTCCCTATTTTTAACCTTATATTCATTGTCTTTGTGGCCTTAGAGTCATACTTTTGTTAATGTGATTGATGGCCAAATTATGTTGATCTTGAAATATTTTTTAAAAGCATGTAGCAAAATGGGTTTTTAAAAGGGGTACATGATATAGATGGAAGCTCATTAACATCAGGTTTTTGGTTTCCTATCCTAATAGGATTTGGCTAAATAAGCTAGGTAAAGCACTATGAGATAAGTGTTCTTTTTATCCCCATTTTACAGATGAAGAAACTGGTACCAAGAAGATATGTAATATTTTAAAGTTCACTGAGCTAGTAATGCATATATCATTATTTAATTTTTAATGGCTTAGTAGTATGCTATTATAGAGTTATTCTAAAATTTATTTAACAAACTCACTATTGATCATTTAGGTATTGCCAATATTTTACTATTATAAACAGTGTTATCATAAACATCTTTGACTCTGTATCTTCACAGATTTTCCCAATTATATCCTTAAGATAATTTTCCCTAAATGGAATTGTGCTTTTAAAAATATATTTTTCTTTTTCCAACATGAAGAAAGTTTTTTTCTGATTACAGAGACTGTATATACACTGTATTTAGAAAACTTAAGCAATATTAATAGTTACAAAGAAAGTAAAAATTACTCAATATCCAGCCACTTAGATGCCTTTAAACTTTGGACTTTAATACTACTATCTCCAAAATGGAATTAAACCAGATAATCAAATCTCTTCTGAGCATACTTATTTCTTAAAAAGCAAAATTGATTGAGATTGTCTTTAAAACAATTTAAAGTTATTTTAAAAATATTTTTACTTATTCCCATCAGATACCAGATAAATGAAGCATTGTTATATTTTAAAATCTTTTTTGTTTTCTCTGGTCTTATTAGGTTAAAAATTTAATATTTGGGAAACATATATTTATTTTCCACAGTCACAGATGCCACAGATAATTTTTTCATAAATTGAAGCTAGGGATCATAAGGATTATAACTAAGTGAATTACTACAAATAATGCTAGAGTGAGGGATGAAATTAAAATTATGGATTTAATTGTTGAAGAGTAGCCTGTTTTTAGGTTACTTGGTATTTCTATTATCAAAGGTATTAAGCAGTGTTTTAGGTAGACCAAAATAAAATATTAATTTATATGAATACGCCACATTCCAAACATGGATAAAAAAACTATAATACTTAACTGACTTAAAACGGTTTTATTTGTTTTTTAATCCTCACCCAAGGATATTTTTCCATTGATTTTTAGACAGTGGAAGAGAGAGGGATAGAGAGAAACATCAATGTGAGAGAAACACAAGGATTGGTTGCCTCCTGCACACGCCCTGAACAGGGCCTGGGCTGGGAGGAGCCTGCAACGGAGGTATGTGCCCTTGACTGGAATTGAACCTGGGACCCCTCGGTCTGCAGGCCGACACTCTATCCACTGAGCCAAACCGGCCAGGGCCAGAAAATGGTTTTGAATTTAAAAGGTGGGTTCATTGTAAGGCAGTCCTGTTGACAATGGTCTGCTCACGGGACTTTCAATGTGAGAGAGAATAGTGCTTTCCAAATTAACTCATTTGCATGATCTTAGCAAGAACCATTTAGCATTACTTTGACAAAAAGTTCCAGACTGGAGACTACACATCTCACCACAGACAGCTGTTCCCAGGTATGTACTGTTAGGCATAGGAGAGTGGTAGAGTATACACGGATCAGTGCAGATTTATAACTAAAGAAATATGTCCACATGGGTAGATCATCTGTATGTACTCCTATATCAGACAATAGCATTTGCTTTAGGAACATCTGGAAAAACATCACAATCAAATTCAGAGGAAAATATGGTCATTTAAAACCAGTAGAAGTGTTAGCAGGCTTTGAAAGATGAATTGTCATGCAAATGCAAATTTGTGATAAGCACAATAAATAAAAACATTAAAAAATAACTTGCGAGGAATTATAACTGGCTGCCTGGGTTTAACCTTCCTTTCTTATCTGAAAGAGCCAGTAATCCTAATGGTTGTTGCTTTGTTCTAAGTGTTGTAGGTCCTCTGATCTGCAGATAGGGTGGTTTCCCCATGATATCTGTGATGACATATATCTCTCCAAAAATTATATATTGCAACACATATTTTTAAAAATTTATTTAAAAATATTCTGAATGAAATAATCTTAGTTTGTACCTTAACAGCTTGGTTTATAGTAGAGGCTCAATAAATAGTTATGAATGAATGGAGTCATTCATATGAGACTTAAGAATGACACATGTCTCCCAGTGGTTGGTGTAGAACCAATATCTGTATTCACACTTCTTAAACTTATAAAAATGACAACTAGGAGCAGGAATCCCCCCCTTTTTTAAGGGGAGGGTGCATCTATAATAATCTATAATAATAAAAGGATAACATGCTAATTAGACTGGATGTGAAGGACGTCATTTCGTACGTCCTGGATGAAGCCGAGGCCGGAGGGAAGCCCAGGTCCCGGGTGCCTGTGGGCAGCCAGAGGGAAGCCAGTGTCGGCAGCTGGGGGAAGGAAGGCCTACTCTTGCACGAATTTTGTGCATCGGGCCTCTAGTATAGTAATACAGTGAATGAAGTGTGTATTCTCTTGTAAACTTCATACTCTCCAGACATTTCATGTAAAGAATAGCATGTATTAAAAATTACAGCATTGCAAAGGCAAGGGAATAGTTCCTACAGCAGGGTATTAACACTGCTCATGAACAAATTTATTTGTTCTAAACTGCTGGTTCTAATTATTACCTAGCAGTGTCAGTTACCTAAGAAATACTTATATTATTTATCACATAAGTTTAATTTTTTTAAGTTAGGACATGTGATATACAAAATTATACCAATGCATGGTACTTTACAACTTTCATGACAGTTTTAAAATACTATTTTATTAAGTACAATCGCCCCATGCTTTAAGTACAAGAGGTGCTGTTATTCCTGCATTGCACATTGAGAAACTGAGGCTCAGGTGTTCAGTGACCTGGCCGGAGTTATACAGACAGTAAGTGGCTGACTTGGCACTGCAGACTCAGATCTTTCTCGCCCATTGTCCCATGCTCCTTCCCAGAAAAGCAAACTAAAACTCCCAAGTAAAATATGAAGTATTTTTTAAGGTAGCCTAATAATTATTTCAAAATTTTCTGTTGAGTATGTATAACTAGTTTCAACAAAAATCATAATTATATAATCATAATTACCTAATAAATACCTGATCATCACTTTAGGAAATCTGCAGCTTATACCCTGCCAGTCATTGACATATCAAACTAGCTGTTCCATAGAATATCAGAAAGTGTGGGTATCACTTTAATGACATTACAAGGTTAAACATCTATTTGTACTTAATATATACTAAATGGACCTATATAATATTGTGCATTTTATAATTAAGTAAAATGTATTAAAATTGTTGACTCTCAAATCACAGAACAAACAAATGCCATCTACAGCACTGAAAATAATCCTTAAAATGAGGAAACCAAATATGTAAAGGGTCATCATATTTCTTTGGCCACTAGAACAGTTAGTAAAAATACTTGTTAGAGCGATGGGGTTCTTAACCAGGAGTCCATATATGGGCTTCAGAGGCCTGTGAACCCCTGAATTATAGGCACTTTGTATATATATGATATATCTGGATAGTGTTTGACAAGGAAGCATGAATTCTGTTAGATGTCATTTTTAAAATTTATTTTTAAAGTACTTAAAATTTGGGCAGGACCTTGTTTTTTAAATAGGAGCAGCTTTAGAAATCTCAGCTGTAAAGATTTGGGGAATGATGATTTTCTGTATTGTAAAAACTTATACAGGATGGGGCAAAAGTAGGTTTACAGTTGTGAGTTCATGAAAGTTTATTCTTACTTATTCATTATTGTATTATTTTCCATACAAACAACTGTAAACCTACTTTTTCCCCATGCTGTATGTACCCATTAGGAATATGAACTAAAAGATTATCAAGTATTAGTCACTTGTACTGTATGCCAGATACTGTTACAGATGTGGTTGTAAATTCCGCATAGTGCATTCTCTCATGTAGTCATTACAGCAACCCCAGGAGGTGAGTTTTGTGATAATCCTCATTTTGCAGATGAGAAACCAAGGCACATAACGATTAGGTAACTTGCCCAGAGTCACTTATTTAACAAGTGGCAGAGTTGAGGCTCATTCAGTCTAATACAAAAACCAGTGTTCTTAGTCCCTATTCTGTACTATTCAGAACATGCTTTGAAAAATATCAAATAAGCCCTGGTGGTGTGGCTCAGTTCATTGGGGTGTCGTCCTATACACTGAAATGGTTGTGGGTTCGATTTCCAGGCAGGGCACATACCCAGGTTGCAGGTTCAATCCCTGGTCGGGACGAGTACGGGAGGCAACTGATCCATGTCTCTCTCATATGTTTCTCTCTCTCCCCCTTCCTCTCTCTAAAAGAAAAAAAATCAATTAAAAAAATCAAACACTACATAGATATATTAGCACATTTCGCTTTCCTAAAATGAGCAGAGTTCTACAGCAATGCCTGATCAGAGAGAGCAGTGTGGTCTTTAGGTGGGAATAAGCTTGTGTAAGAGCCTTTCAACCAGAAATATATCAGTTTGTTTAACAGAGAAAACACAAAATTATAACTGTGTTATTTATTAATGATTTTTTTATCTTATAAGGATGAAATTGTTTTATTTCTGAGAAATTTCCAGATGCCATGTACCCAGAACCTATACTATTAGGCTATTGTTAAAGCTGATTATTTTAAGAGAACACTGACCTTTTTTAAGTGGTGAAAAATATGAATTATTTGGTATAAATGATAATAGTACACTAAGTAAGATACTTTCTTCACATGATGTAACTGTTCATTTTTTAAATTTTTTTTGCTTGTTTTTCCTTTTATTTTTTTCCATCACCATTTATCCCCCTTATACCCTTTCCCACCTCTATCCACCCCACTCCCTCGCCTGCAACGTTAATTTTAATAATTTTTACCTACGTGCATTGTATTATCTTTGTTATGCAAGAGGGTTTTTTTTTTCTATTTCATGATTTAAAATTTTTTTAAACTTATAAAAATTGGATAAAAAGATGACGGTCATTTTGGTGGCAAAGACTTGTGAATGACTTCCTTTACATGGATGTCTTTGAGTTTTCTATTTTCCTTAAACAAAACAAGATAATTAATTATACATAGCCATCTCAGATTACTACAATTTGGAGAAATATGTGTAGCAATGCAGTGAATCGTCTGTTCAGTAGATGATACCATGTGTTGTTGTTTTTGGTCCTTTTAGGCATGAAGAATGTTAAATAGAAACATCTTTATATGAGACAAGCAAATAGTTTTAAATACAAACTTCAAAATCTAGTTATGAAATACATAATTAAGATAGGATTATTTGACAGGTTAATATGAATTCTGTTGCCATAGTATAGGTTTAAATTTTTTAAAACAATTGTAAAAATGTTAATAAGAAATTGCTTGAGAAAAAACTATTAGTGGGCAACCTCTCCCAACTCCCTTCAACTACTCCATTTGCCATTCCCTATCTTGGTTTACAAAAATCAGGGAAGTTACCCTTGTATAAAGAAATTCTCTTTAAAAAGTGACCATGTTGCCGAAGCCGGTTTGGCTCAGTGGATGGAGCGTCGGCCTGCGGTCTGAAGGGTCCCAGGTTCGATTCCGGTCAAGGGCATGTACCTGGGTTGCGGGCACATCCCCAGTGGGAGGTGTGCAGGAGGAAGCTGATCGTTGTTTCTCTCTCATCAATGTTTCTAATTCTCTATCCCTCTCCCTTCCTCTCTGTAAAAAATCAATAAAACATAAAAAAAAAAGTGACCATGTTACAATTAAGGACCACTCAAGAAAGTCTGATCCATCACTAGGAAACAATCTCACAGGCAGTTCAACATTTTAATTTGCTGAAGGCATGGATTTCTTGAGACATTTAATAAATGTTCAAGAAGCTTTATCCCCTCATTAGACAAAACTTTTTAAACGATATTTATTTCATTTCTGGCATTCAACCGGGGGTGATGTACAGCAACTGCTTAAAGAATGTGTCTGTGAATGTCTGTATGTGTTTAGAAACAAAGAGCCACACTGAAATTACAAAGTGATTAAAATAGAATTTAGTAACCCAAATTGGAATTTGGCTGGAATTCCCAAGGGGTTATATTTCTCCCTATTCTTGGACAGCATGCTTTTTAACGAAGTGCAGATGCTTACAGTTGGCCAATGATGAATAGACTCACAGCATGAGAAACAGAGCAAAGAGTATTATCCCAAATGTTTACACAGGGTGTTAAATTAAACTACTAAGGTAAGAAGTTCAATGCTTTACATATTTAGTAAACTATGCATGTTATTTTATTTGCAACCCCATGTGTTAAGATGGGACACTGTTAAATTAACAATCACTTAAAAAGCAACAACCAACAAACCAGTATTTAATTTGGTACTTAAAATTAATAATTAAAAATCAAATGGAAGCAATGTCTAAAGTAACTAAGATAATTCACAATAAAAACCATAATTCAGGCTCTGCTTATGGAAATACGATAATTCGAAATCAGCTAACCTAGAGAGAGAATGAGGGTTAAGTTAGCAAAATGTTAAATAAGATTTCAGGGAGCCACTAAAATTACTTTTAAGAACTTCAGAACTGATTATATATAAAAAATATTAACTAACTAAGTTTAAGTTCATTCATACGTGACCTTATTTGAAGCAGTGTATTTGCACTCACTAGTAAAATTCAAGTCACTAAGATATTTTTGAAGTATTTTATTTCCCAGATATTTTATTTCTTTGAATTAGTTGTTCAGTGACTAGTCTGAATTTCTATGAAGACCAAATGAAGATGTGTTTCTGGAAAGAAGGCAATTTTCTATAATCTGAAAACAAATGACTAGAAAACAAATCTTTGGTTTTTAGGTAAAGTGGCAGGAAGGATTTTGCAAAAAGAAATACTCAAGAACCAAAGCAATGAAAAGGCTCTTAGTAAGCAATGGGAAACTCCAAACCCCATCAAGGTCAATAGAGTACCTAAGGCACCTCAGGTCTGGATGATACAATCATCTTTGCTTAAAGTTCTAATAATCTATGCACAGGATTGTACCATCTTAAGAATGTGAAGCTGAAAATAAAAATAATGTGAAGCTGAAAAGGTAATGGCCAACCATTATAATTGTGAAGAAGAGAATCATAAGAGTTGATAAAAGTGAGTGACATTGGAGATCACCTGTTCTACGTCCATATTTATAGATGAGGAAACAGGCCCGTTCATGAAACAGGTGATGACAGAACTGTGTTTCCAGGTTCCTAAGTCTATTTCTCTTAGGGTAGGACAAATTCTAGATTTTAACTTTCATTGGCTAGTAAAACAAAACCAAGTGTGAGGAGTTCCAGGGATGTGAGTTTGAGAAAAAGTAAATTCCTATCAAATCCCCAAAGACAGGTTGGAAATGCATAATACTTTACTGTCTTAATTCCTTTATACCATGTGTTGGACAACTTAGCTAATACACTAATTGATTTATACAATTCCTTTCAGTTCTATCTAAAACCAGCAAACCAAAAGTAAATGAGAACATTACATGAGATTCCTTTTAAGCATACATAAGGCCATGGTACTTAATATGAACTACCGCTTCGTGGGAGAAAGAAGACATCCACTGTCCAGTTCTGAGAGAAAGCTCCTGACTAGTTACCCAGTAGACTCTCCACTCTTCAATGTGGAAGATGATGCTTATGTTTTTAAAAAATCTCTACAAAGCTCACAGACAAGCCAGTGCATCCTAGATTTGTGACTGATATGAGTATTTAAGGCTGTCATTTTCAAGTATAAAAGTTTAATGTTCCATTAACCAATCTATGCAGTAGATATAGCTATAAGCTCAAGTCATAGAAATTAACAGGAGCCTACCAAAGACAAATCATAATTTAGGCAACAGCAAGTTTAAATGTAGAAAAGGCTGTGGGGGTGGGGGGAAATGCATGGATGAGATTATGCCTTTCTGAACTGCATTGGTTTGTTCACACTGAAACTGTCTAACTCTGTTGTCTGTTGCATGGTATGTGGAATAAGGCAGATCCACAGCAGAAACTTAAATAGGTAACAGATGGTAATAAAATGGTTCACCTCTAACACGGTTCTATAGCCTGTTCCCCCAGAGAAAGGTTAGAAGTGGCTCAAGTATGCCAAATAAGCTTCACAGATAACATGAAGTTTTTAAAAACAGGGCCTTTCACCTAGGGACCAACATGCACTGTTTGTAGATGGAATAAATGAACATTATTTACTTCTGGCCTGGTGTAATATTGTGAAATGTAATGTGGCTGGAACAGAATGGGTGTCTGGAAGCTGGTATTTTGTTTAACTTACACTCTGGGCGTTTGACTTAAGTTGTAGTTCTGTAACTTCTACTAGGGTTCCAATATCTATCTGAAAGGTAACATCAGTTTTATAATGGAAGCAATTGCTTTGTTATAAATTGCATGTAACATGCTTATAATTCTAGGTCATTTCTCCTTAACACAATTTAAAGTTTCGTATGGTTTGGTCATCATACACACTTCTCATTTCATTTGATATACAAGCCAATTTGGAAATTCACAAACAAAATTACCAACTTCAGAGAGCTAAATTGAGTCCAAGATTATGGCAAAGTCTGACCCAAAATTTTAATTTGTAAGTTTAGCATGTGTCTCATGCAGTTTGGGAGCATCAAACTAAATCTACAGTCGCCAGAAGCCTTGTTACAGTTGAATGCACATTAACTAAAACGTGTACATTTTTTAGTGTTCGTGATAAATGCAGTTATGACCTTATTACACTTTTGGCATTCTTGAAGAAAGCACATTAAGCTTTAATATAGAAATATTTAGGTTACACTTAACTTGTGCTCAAGTAATAATAAAACATTTGTTCTCTGATCTCATACATTCTCTCCTCAGGTGTGGCCCATCTCCTGCACGCTCGGAGCGACCTTTGGCTACGTGGCTGGCCTCGTCATTTCCCCGCTCTGGATCTACTGGAACAGAAAGCAGCTCACATACAAGAACAATTAATTGGAACAAAGGAAGATATTTTTGTGTGCAGATTCCATAAAGACTGTGCAGAAATGTATATGGTCTAAGCCAGGCAGTCCCATTTACAGCACTGTTTTTTTTATGTAGTTACATGATGTGATTGTAGCTTTTAAAACTATGAAACCCCTGAGAGATTGTACCTTCTAGTCGAAATAAAGTATTTATAATAGACTGTGGCTTCAGATGCTGTTTGCTGCCTCTTGGACCTTTAAGAAACATTCTTAATGAACTTTATAGAATTCTGAGGACAGGGTTGTTGCTCATTCAAGTTTTAAACTGCTTCAGTATTTATAAGAGGTCTGGGTATAGCTGTAGCATTTCATATGCTTTCTTAGAGAGAAATGGACAGTTTCGTTGGCCACTGAAGATGTTTCTCACGTAATCAAACAACAGTTTATACATCTTGATCCTATTCTTTTTTTTACTGTATGTTTCTTTGGAGTTAAAATGGCTATGATAGCCTCATCAAAAACAGTCTTCAATCCCTTCTGGGTTAAAGCTGAACATTCCACATAGCAGCACGCTCCTATCTGGGAGGGAGAAAAAGAACAAACACAAATATATAACATCTTTTTCCACAACTGGTATGACACAGACACCATTATAAGGAACATTAAAAATATACTAGGAGCTATGCAAAAAGAATGAAATCAAAATACTCAGAGATAGCTAACTGTTAAGTTACTAGTACTGTATATATCCTTCCAGACATTTTGGGAATAATTCATCAAATATTTACTGAGTACCTACCCTATGCCAAGCACTGCTTTAGGTGCTGGGGATACTGTCAATGAACTAAACAATTGAGCCAGGTCCCTGCTGTGTGATGCTTACATTTGCTTAAGTTCTGGGGGAGGGACAAAGGAGGGATGGTGGCACATGCTCTGGAGAAAAAGATAGCAGAGTGAGGAAGATGGGGAGAGCAGAGGGCGGTGGTGGTGGTCGGAAAGCTCTACAAGGTGACATTTGATCAGTGAGGGATAACTAGAGGAAGCATATCTAGGCAGATGGAGCCCAGGTGCAAAGGCCCCGATGGAGGAGCTTGCTTGGAGCGATCCAGGAACACTAAAGAAGCCACAGTGGCAGGAGCGAGTGAGTGCAGGTCAGGGGAGGGTGGTGGATGGCAAGAGATGAGGTCAGTGAGGTGGCCTTGAGGCCACTCTAAAGACTTTGGCTTCTACATTGGGGGAAACCATTCATTCATTGAAAATGTAATGAGCACTTTTATTTGCCAAATGAGAGAATATAGTAAGGAATAAAAAAGTCTCTACTGATGAAGCTTCCATTTTAGAGGGAGAAGACCATGAACTAATAAATACAGAGGTAGAATGTCACAGGGTATTATGTGGTCTGCAGAAAAATGGAGAAGCGAGATAGGTAAGGAGTAGGGATGAAATCAAGGCAAGGTCTCATTGACAAAGTGATTGAGCAGAGATCTGAAAGGAGAAAGAATAAATAATGTTCCAGAGGGAAGAACATTCCAGGCAGAGGGAGCAGCAAAATTCCAAGCCCTGAGGCAGAAGGGAACAGCAAGGAGCTCACGTGCCTGAGTAGGCAGAGAGGTACCAGGGGCCACAGTGAGGACTCTGGCCTTGACTGTGTGAGCTGGGAGCCCCTGGTGGATCCTGAGCAGAGCAGTGATCTGATGGGGCTTATATTTTAAGACTCGCTCGGGATATTGTGTTGAGCACAGGTTAACACGGGGCACAGAGAGAAATGGAAAGATGAATTAGAAACGCACAGTAATCAGGCTAGATATGGAGGGGCCCGAACCTGACTGATAGAAGAGGCGGAGCATTTGGATTCTAGATATATTATGGAGGTAGAGCATTATGTAAGAACAACAAGGTCAAGTGTGAGTTCAAGGATTTTGACCTGAGTAACTGGGAGGACAGGCTTGGAGGGTAAAATTAGGAATTGTTTTGGACATGTTAATTTTGAGATGCTTAGCCATCAAGATGGACTTGTCGGGTGAATGGCTGGATAAGCAAGTCTAGAGTTTAGGGAAGCGTTTCAGGCTGGAGATAGCAATTTGGGGGTCTTCAGTAGAAGATTATTCAAACTACAAGACTGGCAGAAGCTCACCTAAGCCTGGAGAATGAATGTGGGTATAGAAGAAAAAATGTCCAAGAAGTTGAATGCTGATCCCTGCGCCCTCCATCATTCTGAGACAGGGAGATGAAGGGATAGAGGAAAGGCCGACAAGCGGGGAGAAAAACCAAAGAGAGAGCATTCGAGGAAGCCAAGTGAAAGTATTTCATGAAGGAATCAACTGTGCCAAATGCTGCTGAGAGGCCTAAAAATGGGATCATATTGTTTTGCAACCACTTTTTTTTTCTTAAAATACATAATAAATTTGAACATCTCAATGGATATATTAGTATAAATTTTTAATAGATGCGGGTTTTTTTTATTTTTTGCCTTTATAAACAATGCAGCAACTTTGTAGCCATCTCTTTAAGAACATCCAAATAATTTTCTTAGGATAAATTCCAACATATGGAATTGCTTGAACAAGAGTGTGCATGACTTTAAGGCTTTTGCATATCATCAAGACTGTTTTTAATCAACGACCAACAGTACAATAGAGTGCTCATTTCCTTGCACCTGTGGAAGAGGGGTTATTGTAATTCATTTCTCAATTTTTAGGCCAACTTTATAGGTGAAAATCGAACTTACATTTGACTACTAAGGAGTTTTAACATATTTTCTATCTTCAACGGCAATTTGCATTTTTTGGTGAATTTTCTATTGATGTTCTTAGCTCGCTTTTCTATTGGGCATATAATTCTTTGTCTGATTAATTCATATGCAAGGGGTTCCTGTGTACTAAGCATATTAATTTATTTTTTTGCCATACGTGTCAAGTTTGTTATATGACTTTTAATTTTATTCCTGGCATTTGATGCATTACATTTTTATGTAGTTAAATCATCAATATTTTCATTTATGACTTTTACCTTTGTGTCATTTAGAAATTCCTTCTCTCCCCAAGATAACAAAATGAATATATGAAATTTCTAAAGTGATTTGTTAGTGAAGCTATTTATCTTTTGCTGTAGAAAAAATTGTCCTCCCAAAAGTTTTCTTGCTTTCTTTTGCCTCCTGATAGTACATTTTAAAGGAGCTTATTAGAATCTGTTTCCACCAAAGTCCTATTAAAGTCACATCGAAAAAAATAGAATCCAATAATGTTTGGGCCCAATAGAGAAAACATAAGCCTAGCTTTGGGATGAGGAAAAATACAAGTTAAAAGATATTATGTGCATCACAGTTAGATCTTTTTTAGAATGCTACTATTGCATACCTTTCATAAAAAGATTGGAAGAAAACTCAACTCGTTTATTTCAAACCTAGCCATCATGTTTGTTTTTAACTGCAGATTTAATCTGTCGCCCAATGCCACTCCACTACCTACTCCATGAGTGTTAACTGATGACAGAGCCTGATCTGGCACAATACCAATATTTAAGTGATTAAGAAGGGCTGAAAGATCAGCACCTTTTTATGATGCCTCTATCTACACATGACTTATTAAGAAAATATTGTTGGTGGTATAAGAGTCTGGCTCTGGAGTCAGGCCTTGACTGAAACCTAGCTCTGCCATTATTACCTGCGGGACCTTGCAAGTTACCTGACATCGCCACACCTCCGTTTTCTGTTCTATAAAATAGGGAGCTCGTCAGACCTACCTCAGAGTCAGTGCAAGGATTAAATGAGATAATGCATGGAAAGCGCTCAGCACAGTGCCCGACATACAGTAAGTGCACAATAAATGTCAGCTTCTAGCATTACTTTAGCTGTTTTTACACTTATGTGTAAATTCTGTAAAGGTTCCATTACCTCTTTTGCTAGTTTCTGTCCTTGTTCCACACATATAGGCTTTTCTTTCATATCATTCAGTCTTGCTAAAGTTTTGGGGTCATCGCGGAGATCAATCTAATGAAGAAAGGTCAATAATATCCCATAATAATTACAAGTCTTTAAAGATGAATCAAAGCACGGAGCCCCCACTTAATTCCCACATACCAGTAAAAGATTAAACAAAGGATCTTAATTTCTTAAACCAACTAAGATAATTGCTTTCTTTCAGCACTGTATTTTCAAAAAATGTGATAGATTTTCTTATAACTTACAACTGAGCTTAAATACACATATTATTTGCTAAACCTCAGGACCATTGGTCTGAGAGCAACACCACAAGATAGACCAGAAAGAGTTTTCTTAAAAGGGTAAGATCAAAGCAGACATACCTGAGTTCCTATTAATAAGAAGGGTACATTTGGTGCGTATTCCTTAAGTTCTGGTACCCATTCCTCTTTCACATTTTGAAATGAGGCTGGATTCACCACAGAGAAGCATATAAGGAAGACATCAGTCATTGGATAAGATAAAGGCCGCAGACGATCATAGTCTTCCTAAGGAAGGAAGAAAAACCTAATTATTTCTATTTCTTTAATTTACTCTCATATGTCCATTACATTAACATGGTCAAAGACACATGTTAGGACTATTCCACAAGTGAAATGTATGGCACGCTACATAAAACAAGATAATGCCCATTTGTTTTTGTTATTTCTCCTTTTGAAGTTCTGAACACCAGTGGGGTAAAAATATGACAAGATCATTGACAGCTACAATGAAACTTGGAGAAAATATATTGCGATTACTAAAGCTGTCACTGGAAACATTTTCCACTGAAAAGTCTGCACAAAGAATTGATTATAGCTAGATGTAGTATAAGTGTTACCATTTATAATAACTAACATGTACTGAAAGTTTACTGTGTCAGGGACTGAGCTGTATGCTCTCCCAAGTATTACTTATTAAAGCCCCCTAACAACTATGATAACATAGGTACCATTATCCCTGTTGAGAAAATTGGGGCACAGAAGTTAAATAACTTGGGTGGGGATGTATAAGCCAATAAGTAAAAGAGATGGGATTTAAACCCTGGCAATTTTACTCCAGAGCCTATGCCTTACCCACCATACATTTTCTCTGAGACCTTAAATCTTTGCTTTCCCTATTAATATAGGTTTTTTAAGTGTGTGTGTGTGTGTGTGTGTGTGTGTGTGTGTGTGTGTGTTGTGTGAACATTTAAAGATAGAAACATATAGAGGAAATTCACACAAAAACCCTTTCCTCTCCAATTTCCATTCCCTTCCTGAAATGGAGATGT